ACCCTCTGTGATAATATCAGATTTCATAAACTAAGCAAGGTTGGGCCTGGTCAGTACTTGAATGGGATATCTCTTGTGCAAAGCCATGTGCTGCAGGAATTAGTGTAGAAGGCTCTCTGTGTCGGTGGTTAAACCAGTGCCACACCAGGGTTTTAAGGAACAATGTACGCTTGGGTCAGTTATCCTTGAAGACACCAAAAGAGATCCTGACTGCTGGTAGTTGTTAAAGTCCCCACGTGACTTTCACAAGATCCCTGGCCAAATTTCAACTTGGTTAGTTATGTTCTGTTGACATAAACTCTTCCTGCACCTTCAGCTGACAATGGTGGTATTCTTCTCTCCCTGTGTAAGTGGCTGTGTAGTGCTGCTGTGAGTTGTTCCACTCCAGAAGTGGCTGCACATCAGTGATTAGCTAACAAGCCCAATAGAGTGCTCTGAGATCCTTCTCAGTTAGAGAGCGTACAGAAATGCAAGATGATTTTTTCAGGCTTGCTTTCCAGCAAATTTAAGTGTCATCTGGCTTCCAACAATATATTTTCCCTTTTTCTTTTCTTGGCAGCTGAGTAAAAAATATGGAAATGTCTTTAGTCTTCAGAACTGCTGGAGTAATCTGATAGTAGTGAATGGATTCAAAGCAGTAAAGGAAGCATTGGTCCAGAAATCAGAGGACTTTGCTGACCGACCATACTTTCCTATATATGAGCACTTGGGTTATGGAGAGAACTCCGAAGGCAAGTACCTTGGAAACTACCGTAGTTCTCTGGCAGTGTTGCAGGGGGACTGGTTTTATCGTTTGAGCTCCTGGAGAGGTTAAAGGGGACTTAAGGAGTGAACTGCCTCCTCTCTTGTCCCTCTGCTGATGTTCCTTTTGCTGGAGTCTTCCCCCGACACTACCTCTCGTGAGGAGGAAGTCAGGTTAGATGAAAATGGGGACTCTCCTTCCCAACTGCAGCGCTGCAACAACTACTAAGACGTGGCCATTCTGAAATGTTCAGTAGACTGTACATGCTAATCAATACTGATTGGCTGCCATTGTCAGAACGGGCAGTTTCCTATCCCTCACCATATGTATGTACCTTCCTCGGCTTGTAAAAAAATAACCTCCTTCTGAGGAACCTCCAGGACCCCAGAGTGAAAGTGTGGGAGGGTAGAAAGAAATGCAACCTAAAAGGGAGGCTTGTTGGGCTGGAATCATCTCAGGTTATCCCAAAGCACTTTCATAACAAAGATTAGAGCTGGAAAAATATCTATAGAGTCACATTTTCTCAACCATGGGCAGTGTGTGAACCCCCCATTTGGGGAGACCAGTCCCCTGCCCTGCCCCAAGCTCCCTACTGCGGCATGAGAAGCCCCACCCAAGCCACCGCCTGCCTGAGCCACCCCAAGCTCAGGCTGGTTGGAGGAGCTCTGAGTCCTCCCACTGGCCCGGGGCCATGGCGGGGAGTATTAGCAGAGGTTTGGGGAGGCTTAGCCTCCCCCAGCCTCCATTACGCACCACCTATCTTCTCAACCTCACCCTGGCCCATACTCTGGCCAGTGCTGGGATGCTCCCTATAGTATGTTCTCCAGTGCTTTGTCCAATCCAATCTTAAATGACTTGTGATGGGGCATCCATTAATTCCTTTGAGAGACTATTGAGTAGTTTAATAGATCTAATCATTGGGAAATGTTTTCTGACATCCAACCTGAGGCTCACACCCTTAGAGTATAGCATGGCTTATCTCCATTAACTACATCAGGTTATACCAGCTGTGGATCTGGCCCTGAATTTCATGCCATTACTCCTAGCTATAGCTTGGAGCTCCCTGAATAATCCCTCTCCTTCTGCACTAACCACCTACACCTCTGAAGGATGCAATAATAGTGCCCATTAGTTGCCACATGGTCAAGCTATACTTGGTTCCTTTTATCCTTCCTCAGAAGCCAGTCCCTCCAGCCCTATTTTCTTGCTCTCCAGTGAATGTTGCATAGTGCTTCCCAGAGGTGATTATGTCTCTTGTTTATTAATATTTTCCAGGTGTGTTGCTTGCAAGATATGGTCAGGCCTGGAAGGAGCAAAGGAGATTTGCACTCTCCACCTTGAGGAACTTTGGGATGGGAAAGAAATCCCTGGAGCAGCGTGTGACCGAGGAAGCTGG